TTTTTTTTTTTTTTTTAAGAAATTGATAATTAAGTAACATGTACAGGAATTGTGTAAAAAGGTAGTAGGTTAAACGTGTTTACGAGGAAACGACGAAATGAATTTAAAAAAAAAACAAACAAACAACGGTAAAAAAAAAAAAATAAACTAATCATAGTGTGACGCAATTTTTTAAGGTTATCCAATCTTTTTTTTTTGTTCTTCTCTCTTCTTTCTCCTTTTAACTAAGCTCGTTTTATTTTTATTATTATTATTATTTTGAATAATTCTTATTTTTCACTTAACTAGCTGATAAATCTTAAATAGGAGTAATTTGGTAGTTTTAAATGGATTAAAATAAAATAAAATAAAATAAAATAAAATAAAGGTGCGGTTTTTCTTAAATAATAATTATAGTAATTCCGATAAAAGGGGGCGTTAAAAAAAAAATATATATATATAAATATATGTTTATTATATATGTTGTATTTTTTACCATTTATACTCACAATTATTAATTTTGACGCCCCCACCACTACCCAATCATCGAAGACTGCTCGTAATAAAATAAAAATAAAAGTAAAAGTAAATTTAATTGTATAAAATTAAATTATAAATTATAAATTAAATTAATAATAATAAACAGAGTTAAATTTAAATTCTTAATAATAAATCGTCTTGCAGTGATGAGAGTATCTCGATATAGAAAAAAAAAAAAAAAAAAAAACATCGTCTTTAAATTATTATTCATGTGTTATAATTATATTGTCCCCTGTCGCTTTAAAGGTTATGAAATTAAAAATTAATAATAATAATAATAATAATAATAGTATAATCACTTGTTAACAAGCAGCGAAAATAATACAACAATGGCTATGTAAAAGCATTTTTTTTTTTTTATTTTTTTTTTTTATTTTTTTTTTTAAGATGTTCTCCTTCTCTCATTAACTTTAATTAACGCTAGCTTGGATGAATATACAATTTATTTATAAACTATTATTGACTATATTTTAATATGGTTAGGCACATACATACATACACACACATATCTTTATTAAAAAAAAAAAATATATATTTAAAAAAAAAAAACAAGAAATCAATTTAGAATAATTATATTATTAATACCATTTTTTAGTTTTAAATAATAATTCTGATGATCACAGGCATTTTCCTTTTTTTTTTTTTTTTTTCCCCGCATTTTCTTCTCTCGCGTTTTTGTTTTTTATTTTTTTTTTTGTTTTTTTTTTCCGAGCATCAAATATATTTAATAATAATTATTGTCGGTATTATATATATATATATATATTGTTTATCATGTATTAATAGTAAATAATCAA